ACAGATGATCTGAAGTGTATGTGCTGATATGCTGTGTTTGGTTTTCGCCAAATGTGGCACTGTACATTGTGGCCAAACATCTACACTTTGCTCTCATTTGTCCAAAGGACATTGTTCCAGAAGTCTTGTGGTTTGTCCATTTTGCAAGCCTAAGCTATGCTGCTATGTTCTTTTTAAAGAAGAGGCTTTCTCCTGACAAACTTTCCAAACAAAATACATGCTTTCAGTCTTTTCCTAATTGTACTGTCATGAACTTTAACATTTAACTGAGACCTGTAGAGTCTGAGATGTAAGTCTTGTTTTTTCTTTTTTCTTTTTCAAGTTCTCTGAGCATTGCACAGTCTGGCCTTGTGCCCTGAGGTCTCTTAAAGTTACAGACATATTGTTTTGATAGACATAGTCAAAGATTTATACAAGCATAGAAGAAGGTTCTGCCAGCTGATGGAAAATAGGTGTTAATATTTTTGCAGCCATTCCTATTCGTAATTATGATCCACACTGTTCTTCAGATACAAATGAGGTTAATTCTGTTGAGTTGTTCCCCCCTTTTTTTGAGAGAGAGCCCAACAACAATATCAGACTCAAAAGCTTGACTTAGTCTTTCTTCACCTGTCATGTGTTTCCGGATTCTCATTGTTCATGAACTGAACCACTTTGCTAATAACAATGAGCTTGTGAGTCTGGCTTTGAAACTGCATTATGTACTGTATTTTTCGCTCCATAAGACGCACCAATTTTTTAGGAGAAGAAAACAGGAAAATATAATCTGTTTTCTTCGCTCCATAAGACGCACAGATTTTCCACCCCCCTGTTTGGTGGGGGGAAAGTGTGTCTTATGGTGTGAAAAATACGGTACCTTAGCCTTAGATTCCATGTAAAAAACAAACTTTATACTATAAGTTTAAGACAGACAAAGAAAAGATAAATGCATTTGAATGTGTTTGTTAACTCTTCCTCAGGATTTCTTCCTTACTATTCCTGTTCCTTACCTTTAAATCTTCCTTTATGTTTGACATGCAAGGGAAAACTTTTGAACCAGTTGGTACCAGAAGCCTTGTGGTGCAGTGGTTAAACTGAACTACTACAGACCAAATTCTGGTCAAGTTTGTTTTTTACATGGAATCTAAGGCTCTACTCCAGACCAAATTCTGGTTAAGTTTGTTTTTTACATGGAATCTAAGGCTAAGGTACATAATACAGTGTCAAAGCCAGACTCACAAGCTCAGTATTAGCAAAGTGGTTCAGTTCATGAAGAATGAGAATCCGGAAACACATGACAGGTGAAGAAGGACTGAAACCAGTTTGATATTGTTGTTGGGCTCTCTCTCAAAAAAGGGGAGGGGGACAACTCAACAGAATTAACCTCAAGACGCCTACCTGGCTTCAGTCCCAGGTAGGCGCAGTGTCAAAGCCAGACTCACAAGCTCACTGTTATTAGCAAAGTGGTTCAGTTCATGAAGAATGAGACTCCAGAAACACATGACAGGTGAAGAAGGACTGAAATCAGTCTGATATTGTTGTTGGGCTCTCTCTCAAAAAAGGGGAGGGGGACAACTCAACAGAATTAACCTCAAGACGCCTACCTGGCTTCAGTCCCAGGTAGGCGTCTTGAGGTTCACTCAGGTTTGCATCCTTCTAAGGTCGGTAAATTATGAACCCAGTTTGCTGGGGATGGGGCAATGTGTAGCCTGCATAATTTAATCACAAACCACCTAGAGAGTGCTTCAAGCACTCTGGGGTGGTATATAAACGTTTAGCTTTTATATAATGGACCTAGAAATTAATTGTAACTGGAAGGTTTTTTTGGGGGGAGGGGGTTGTTGGGTTGATTTTTCTGCCCAGAAACCCCATGAAAGCCATATACTGAACTGAACATATTGGAATAATCTTGAGCTCCAGTTTAGGTGCCCAACTGCAAGCTAACTGTAGTATTCACAGAAGTGTTATGTTTTCTTAGGACAATTGGACATCAACTGCAAAAAAAGAAGGGAGGAAAACAGTCATTATGATCATGATTATAGTGAGTCCTTGAAAAGACTGAAAGACTACTTAGGATGTATTTTTTTCAAAAGTGACATTACTGAATCAGTGGCAATTATGCATTTGTAGGACAATTATGTGGGGTGAAGAGCCCAGGAGGCTTAGTAAGGAGAAGCAGCATACATATAAATACCTCATTTCAAGACTGGCATTTTAAGACATGGCATTCACATGCCATGAAAGGGAAAGAAAAAACTAAAGAAAATGCTGAATTATGGCCAATGGAGCATGATAATGAGTTTTTTCCATTCCAAAAGAATTTTATTTGCTTTTTTTCCACTTCAGAGCCATTGATTAGATGATCAAAGTTTATCCTGTTGCTGCAGTACCACTAATTTCAGATCTAGGGAAGAGGAAATGGTGGGGAAAGGACAGAAAGTATACAGAAGAGCAGGCTCCTAGCATTGCCATTTTAAGAAAGAATCGAAGAGGACTATGTCCATCACCCTTTTAAGGTACCTCATTGACTCCCTTCCTTGTGGCTAGCTTAGGAAGCTGCTCTGTTTACTGGGGAAGTCAGGGCTAACTCCTGGTAACTGAAAAGAAGAAGGGGAAATAAAATAAAAATAAAAGTACATCTCATTCTGCAGATATCTGCTGCCTGGCCAAAAAGCCAATCTGTCCTGTTTCTGCACCATTCAGTCTAATGACTGTTACACATGAATTCTCTAAACATCTACAAAAAGTTGTGTGTAACCCACTTCATTTTAAAAAATATATTTTCCTCTTTCCTCCTTCTGTGCCACAGTCTTAATCAGGAGGATCACTAAATGCTCAGAAGATATTTTGGGGGTGGGGTGCCAAAAGGGAGAATTAATGGGAAACTTTCCTTCCTTCTCCCTTCTTCTTGCCAGGAACTTTCTGAATCCAACCACATGTGATAAGCGGGACGAGAGCATGGAAACTCTCGTCAGAGTGCCGTCCCCAAGTAAGACATCTAAAGAGGTGCAGACCACTCCGCCACCAACCCCTCCAAGAAAAATACACCAGAAAATAGACACCCGGGAGCTGGAAATGAATCTACAGGGTCTGATTGTGGCAATGCAGACGGAGAGGGAACTGGCGGGAAGAGAAGAGAAGTGGAGGTCCGTAGTGGAGGCAGGAATGGGGATTATAAATAGGGATCACGACAACATACCTGGGGGTTGGGAACTCATCTGGGTTGAGGATCCCTGGATGGGGAAATGCGAAAAGATAAAGGTACCCAGGGAAGAGGCAGATTATCGATGCAGAAGGGGACTACCTCAACGTCCATCTTATTGGGGTGAGTCCGAGGCGAGGGAGTGGAGGAGACAGTTGAGAGAGAAGGAAGCTGTGGCCTGGGAAGCAGAGGCATGGCGAGCAGAGGAGGCGCGGAGGATGATGTACCTCCAGGACCATGGGGACACTTTACAGGAGAGGGAGACCTGATATGGCGAGACGACGGAGATGAGGAAACCCTACCGTTACTGAGAGAAGAAGGAACTGAAACAGAAGTTTCCAGTTATGACCCATTTGTTCCAGGACCCTGGGAGGTTAAGTCCCTGAACCCTTTTGACTCAGAACTTTGGTTGCCCTTGCGAGGCCCATTGGCACAGCAAGAGAAGTTACAGAATGATCCGTTGAAAGACGTTTTGCTGTTGACTAAAGAAATAAACACCAGTTTGGATTTTGGTATGAAAACGATTCCTGGTTTATTTGAACAAAAGTTGGAGGCTAATAATGAAACCGCACACTGCACCAATCTGCTTTTTTTTCTTTTTAAAAGTCTTAAATGCAATTTAGCATGGTGGGCTAAATCACTGGTTCTTAACCTTGGGTTACTCAGGAGTTTTGGACTGCAACTCCCAGAAGCCTTCACCACCAAATGTGCTGGCTGGGGTTTCTGGGAGTTGCAGTTCAAAAACATCCGAGTAACAAAGGTTAAGAACCACGGGGCTAAATGATGCTAAATCATTAAACATCCTCTCCCCATTTGTAAGCAAGATAAAGGGTTTTAGAGCATTCCTGCAGTCCAGCACTCCCAGAAAAGAAAAAGAAGTAATACTTTGTAATTAATGGTAATTTCAAGGTATAGCTTTTCTGGACCATTGAACATTATTTATAATCTGGTTTTGTTGGCAACTGAGCAGTTTCACTTTGTTTTTCAGAAAAACACTACAATTCATGGGCACTGATTAATACATCAGTATAAAAGGGATTTTTTTTAAAAAAACAATGAATAAACTCTGTGAACAGTTTAACCAGCCCACATTTAACCTACAAACCATTACACTATGAGGAGTCCTGATTGCACATGCAGGAACAGAAGAATAGTGCATTAATATGGCATGACTACAGTTTCTTTGAGTTTTGATACCGTATTTTTCGCTCCATAAAACGCACCTTTCCATAAGACGCACCAATTTTTTAGGAGAAGAAAACTGGAAAATATAATCTGTTTTCTTCGCTCCATACGACACACAGACTTTCCACCCCCCTGTTTTGTGGGGGAAAAGTGCGTCTTATGGTGCGAAAAATACAGTATATCAGTTGCATCACCTGATCATTATCCATAGGCTAATCCATCTGAAGTCAGAATTTCTACAATGGCAGATTGTTCCAAAGGAAGAAACTGTAGTTTGGCCAACCAATTCATTGTCTTTACCTATAATCTGAGTGTTATTTAGCCTTTTCTTTGTTAGACCTTAGTGAAAATGCTATGTTTTATTATGCCTGATTGCAAAATGGAAAAGATAAGTATGACATTAGTGATAATGAAATCCTCTTGCTCATCTTGCTCAAAGCACTTACCAGCGATTATATATGCTCTTTGACAAGAATGAAGTTTTTACCTTGATTGTCACTCTGCCTAATCAAATCTGAGAAAGAAATGTTTCTGAACAAGAAGAAGATTACTATTATTGTTGTAACTATTACTGTTTTTCATCTGGTGACCTCTTCTCGCTTTTTTAAAGGAAAATCTAGAGCATTGTACTTACCTAAGATTTTGCCAAGTGTCAGTGATTTGATTGCATTGAACTGTGTATCTGAAGACAGAAAGAATTTCATCCTTTCATTCTGGTCCACCTTTAGTATTGTTCAGTGGCATAAAATAAGCATAATGCAATGGTGAGGAAGAAAAAATAAGTCTCTCAATAATAGCTTGATGTTTAACAAAAGAGATGCTAAAATATTTTGACATTTGCTGTAATGGTGATCACAGATTTACAAACAACTTAGTATATACTTATTTTTGAAACAAATTATTGTGGCCAAGATGCCAGTTAAGCAATTGCAACTGCAAAAATCTATTCAGTTCTTTGTATTTCACAGAATCATAGAATAATTGAGTTTGAAGGGCCAGTAAGGCCATCAAGTCCAACCCCCTGCTCAACACAGGAACCAAAATCTAAGTATATTTGACAATAGCTGTCCAACTTTCTCTTGAATGCCTTCAGTGCTGGAGCGTTCACCACTTCCTGAGGTAACTGCTTCCATTGCCACACTGCTGTAACAGTTAAGATGTTTTTCCTGATACTCCTCCAAAATCTGGCTTCCTCTAACTTGAGCTCATTATTACATGTCCTGCATTCTGGGATAATCAAGAGCAGATCCTGTCTCTCCTCTGTAGCTCTCTTTCAAGTACTTGAAGAGGGCTATCATGTGTCCTGTCAGTCATTTCGCAAGGCTAAACATGCCCGGTTACTTCAGTCTTTCCTCATGAGCCTTGGTTTCCAGTCCCCTGATCATCCCCGGATTTGTCTGTAAGTACACTGCAATTTCCAAGGCTTTCCCACCAAATGCAAAAGCTGCTGTTTGAGAATGAACTTTACATTTTAAATAATTAAAGACTGCAGCCTAACAGCCCCCATGTCATTATATAAACTGCTTGCCTTCAAATCCTGATGACAGCACATATCTGTGCTCCACCAGCTCCCATATATTTTTTGACAGAGACAGTTCTACAATAGGATCAGCTCAACATTACTACATTTAGATATGATTTATGCAAGCTAATCTTCTCATTCGCTTAGATATTGTGTAATGAGGTAGGCATAAATATATTTCCCAAGTAACTTTTTCATTAATGCTGGTAGAAGAGCATATTCTTCTTCAGTAACTAAAAATCTTGAGGCACAATACATTTTGCAAATCAGGCACAAGCTATCTATATATTCCTGCAAAAGAAATTCATAAAAATCTATATTCCCTTCTATTTTAATACAGCAAAAAATGGATTGCCTATCATAGACTGCTCTGTACATAGACTAACTTCCAGCAAGGTGGAAGCAATTTTATATCGCCCAAAATGCCCACAATATACTAACCCACATCCTGCCCCACACATTTCTTTCTTATCATCTTGTTTGACATTTTTGAAATGAAACTTCGGCAAAAGAGTAGTGGTACTTTGGCAAAAGAGTAGATTTCAATAAAACAGTCACTCTGTCAAAAGCAGCATAGCGGATTCATCAAATGTATGTTAACTGATTATTTAACTTTAGTCCTACAATGTATTACTTTAGCCACATGAAACAATGACATTTTTATTGATTAAATCATCATTATCATCATAGATTCAATAATCAATTAAAACACCATTGTTTCAAGTGGCTAAAGTAATAATTTCAAATGGGAAGAGGTGACCATGTATCTATTAAAAGTGCATATGTATGTATCAGTAGTTCCCAATTTAGAAGATTCATTCCTAGACAGAAGGGAATGTAAGAGGAGGAATATCTCTCCTAAAACGGAGCTTGCCATGTGCTGACTTTATAATTTTATTAAAAACAATCTATATTTCTTTTTCCCCAATTCATACAGGGAAACCTTTTATTAAATGAAAAAGATTTCTTATACAGTATCAGAGCAACAACAGGGAAGACCCTCTCTCATGTCCCCACCCAATGTACCTGCGAGGCTGGTGGGATGGCGAGAAAGGCCTCCTTTTTATGGTTTCAAAACCTGGGTTGGCCCTTGAAGGGAAATTGGGTCTTATAGGTACCATGGACCAAAATAATTTAATTTAAACAGTCTCTGCATGTACATTCCCAAGAATTGCAGTGGGAACCCTTAATTGTGGGCTAGGATTGTTATATATTTTGTTATGCTAATCAATAGGATTTCAGGCCCTGCCAAATCACATTGAATCACAGGTTAATATTCCAATCCTATACATACTTACTTACAGGGAAGTCCCAGAGAAAACAATAAAATGTACTTCTAAGTAGAGGTATGTAACTATTGCAGCCAGGTGGCTAAATCCAATAATTATACTAGAGAAGACCCACAGAATCAAAAGGACTGTGGTAAGCCAATCCTTACTGATTCACTAATTGATTAATTTCTCTGGGTCTGCTATAGCTGATGTCAACAAGGGGACTTAGAGCATAGTTTTTGAATGGATTTTCCCTCATTCTATTTGTTACTTATTTAATTTCTCTACTGCCTTTCTTGCTATAGAGGGACTCAAGACAGCTTAAAGTTTACCCATATAAGCACTCATAATCTCTCTTTCTCTCTTTTTAAGAATGAGATATTTGTCTTTGCAACAGTTCCTTAAAATATCATTTTAGTGATAATTTCAGGGTCAGAACACACCGAAATATTGGAAACTCCTCAATTAAGCCCTCAGATCACAAAACAAGGCAACATAAATTTTAGATTAAAAAGATACAAGAACATTTCCTACAATGGCAACTGCACACAATCAGTAAGCCACTGAGGTGTGGAGGTTCACTGGACTTTGAAAATATGATATAATTTTAAATAATGTTTTAATACACTTGCATGTTATAATTTTTAGATTTTATTTAGTACATTTTAAATTAGTTGTGGTTTTTAAAATCTTCTTATAAGCTGTCTTGGATCCCCACAGGTGGAGAAAGGTGGGGGAGATATTGAATCAATCAATCAGCCCTTAAGTAATTCCCCATTCCAGCCATGAATTATCTGTAATGATGAATAGTTAGGCCCTATCTCATCATAATTCTTCTATGTACTCAGTTGTTCAACATAAATTATCCTCTGTATTCAACCATAGTCACATTTGTTAGGAAGCTGACAGGAACCAGGATTGTGCTGTTGTTATTGAAAGGGGAAAGAGAAATTGACCTTTTTAAATGTTAAAAGTTGAGCACCAAAAACATCACTCACTCACCCTAAGATTTTCTCTGCATAAAATGAATCTGCTGTTTTGCTTTACATCCTTGAGTACTTCTCTCTCTCTCTCTCTCTCTCTCTCTCTCTCTCTCTCTCTCTCTCTCTCTCTCTCTCTCTCTCTCTCTCTCTCTCTCTCTCTCTCTCTCTCTCTCTGTGTGTGTGTGTGTGTGTGAGAGAGAGAGAGAGAGAGAGATAGCAAGCAGTTTATTCAGAGACACCTATTGCATTTATTTATTTATTTATTTATTTCTGCTTTAGGGCATGTCCTCTTTGATGACAATCTGCTGTGATGATGATGATTTTGCATTACCTGCACAAATAGCTTTTCTTCCTCTCTTTTAATCCTCACATGGTGAAGCTGCCCATCGGCCATGCTTTTGAAATTGATGCTAAAGATGTCAGGGTCTTGATGACTATCTAGCTTGTACCTAATCTGTAAACTTCCTGAGGGAACAGGAGAAATGTTATTTCACTCTTATGACTGGTGAATATACAAAAGAAAAATACAGTGTTTCCAGTTTTAAGAAGAGCATTTGAAAAACCACTCTGGAGGGGAAACCAGAAGTCTGGTAGTACATTTGAGACTAACTAGATGCCACAAGGTTCCTTGGATGCTCTTATGTGACAAGAGCTAACACAGCTATCAGCTAGTTTATCTTTACCACTGTGGAAAGGTATTAGTTCTGTTCAAAATAACATGAATGAATAAAACTAGAAGAGAAAGTAGAGATGCCAGGGAGGCACACATGAAAAAACCAATTAAAAATATTAGGAGAAAGCATTGACAATTTGATCTACAAAATTAAACTACAATAGATAAACATAATTTTGAGTTTACTATTACTTTACTCTTAAAGCCCAATTTAATAGTACTTTACTCTTAAATTTCCCTGAATGGCAACATGTACCGTTGCAGTTGAGGACTGAACCTATAATACCATCATCACCTTTGGAATCACTACGTTGCCATTCTTACGTACTTTAAAGCATCACATTTATTCATTTACCATGCAGTAAATTTCTATTGCTTGTAGTCAATACTCATTACAACTTTCCAAAGAATAAAAAAAGAAAATCATTTTAGAATAAAGAACCTAAAAATTAAACTTTAAAATTATAATTATAAATATTTAAATACTGAGATACATCAATAGATTTGTCAAATTAAAATAGTTCCATGACAATTAATTACTAAATCTAAAATAATATCTGCATAGATTCCCAAGGTTACTAGGGCATAAAAGGAAACTCATTGAGTCACATAAGGGTCAGAGAGGAGATAGTAGAACTAAGCTTGAAATGGACTTTGGTGTCACCAGGAAATTTTAGGCATGGTCAAGGACATAAAGACCAGAACAGTATGTTGTGTTGAGAAAATTCTAACTTCCTCTTGCCTTAGAAAATTTTAAAAGCAAGATTAGTCAGGAAGATGTGAAGGTCAACAATCACCTCCAAAACACAGGTTAAATGTTTAAAGCTTGAAGTTTCATATATATTTTTTTTTGGGGGGGAGTCCTTTCTTCTCTGGGAAGCCTGCCTTTAGGGAGAGTTGTAGCCTAACTCCATACACATAGATGACAGGACTACAATCTAGCAAAGGAAAATCATGCTATTCTAATGATATTTTTTATTAATTAAGAGGATATAATAATCACTTTTCAAGAGTAAAAAATGAATGTTGAAAACTGAAGCCATAATTGCATGTTAGAGCACTATGACAGAGTTCTATAGTCTATAGAATAGAACTATATAGTCCTATGATTGTCTATAGAATGGGATACTGGATATAGAAGTCTTTATTTTGGAGTTATGGGCCTGTTTGTACCTTGATACTCTATAGACAACAATGGGACCTTTTCACTTATGAAATTCTGGCTCAAAACGCTTGAAGATATGACAGACTGTAGGAAGATCACACCAGACAGCTTAGAAATACAATTTTTTACTCTATGACTGAAAAATCCTTAATAAGATTCTACAATAATATATGACTCTATGTCAAAAGGCTGATATATGCACATAAATATGAATCAGACAGGTAATAAAGCCCAGCAAGTCCAACAACTGATCGGTTTTATAGGAGGGTGCATTTACTGCGGAGTCAGTGGGTTATAGCTGCGCCTGTTTTCGCTAACAATAACTTTGGTATACTGTGTTCATTTGTCAAACCATCTTGTAGAAAAATTGTAATTTATAGAAAGTAAGTGAAGGTTTTTTTAAGAGGTACACCTATGCTTGGTACGTCATTATTTTATCTAAATGCAGTAATTGCTTAACAGCCCTCCAGCCTAACTAGAAGGAACAGTCTGTAATTGTTATTTCTCCATTAGAGTAGGCCCAGTAAGTTCATATAACTCACATAAGTGTTAACATAACAGCTCCCACTCATTCAGTGGTTCTGCTCTCACCCCAGTGGGCTTTGCCTGATACTATTAACTGGGGAAGATTATTGTAGAACATAGCACCTCATTATGATCACATCAATCTTTCCCTTGTTCTAGATAACATACCAAAACAAAACAACAAAAAAGTGGATCCCACCATATACAGTGGTGCCTCGCTTAACGATTTTAATTGGTTCAAAAAAATTCATCGCTATGGGAAAACATCGCTAAGCGAAACACGGGTTCCCATAGAAATGCATTGAAAACCGGATAATCCGTTCCAATGGGAACGGATTGCTGTCCTTAAGCGAAAATCACCATAGGAAACATTGCTAAGCGAAACACGGTTCCCCAATTGAAATGCATTGAAACCTATTCAATGCATCTCAATGGAGGAGAAAAATTACAACAAATTGAAAAAGAGTCGGAACAAAGTCAAATTAGTTTAACAAAGGGTTTATTAAGTGCACTTATGATTTCAAGCATTCTAAACATTTTAAAACATTTTTAATGTATAAAAAACAGCCAACATGAGGCTGTCAAAACCATCGTTAAGCGAAACAGGGGGACCCAAACTGTCATCACTATGCGAAGCATGGTCCCAAACATTGCTATGCAAAAATTGCCCATAGGGAACATCATTAAATGGAGTGCAAGATAACTCCGAAAAAGCCATCGCTAAACAAATTCGTCGTTAAATGAAGCACTCGTTAAGTGAGGCACCACTGTATATTTTTCACTTTTTAGTTGTGACAAAATATTAGCTTAGTGACAATATTCTATGGTTCTATTTAGGCACAAATATCTCAATTTTCTAGAAATTTTATACTCTGTGATTTAAGAAAAATGTTGGTAGATAAAAGCAAGCTTGGATCCAGGTTTTGATGGATTACTGAGCCTCCTGTGGTGGTGCTATGCCTTCTCAGTGCTGCCTGCCTTTTTCCACTTTCTGTTTGCTGGACAAGCTGCCTGCAGTGATGGTGTTAAAGGATGCTGAGGCCTATCGCAGAGGCCTTGACATTCCTTAGTTTCTGCCACTGGAAGAATCATGTCAATCGCCATGACAATATCAACTCCCTACTAAGCCCTGCCGGGATCTCAGTGTTTGCCCAAAATGGCTTATGCTGGAGGGAGAGGCAATGGCAGGGAATGAGACAAAACCATGGATTAGCGTCCAGACAAATGTCATCTCCCATCCTAAAATGCACTGGTCTAGCCATTTGCACATTATGCATAAATAGCACCTTCTCAAATATAACTGCAGACTGAACATAGCAAGAAACTACTGTGATTTCAGAAGTTAGTTTTCCTTAACCTCATGTTCCTTTCAATTGAACTGGAATGTATACCTCTCTGATAGTCATTGTAAAAATAAACAAGGGAAGGGTTACCTAATAGTATATTAATTAAAACTTTTTAAAAAGGAATTCATAATAGTGGTAACTTAATTAAACTATTTAACCATTGACTACTATTCAATTATTTCCTAGACCACATACTCACCATTTTTGGCAAGAATAATGGAAAGATACTCTTTGTAGAAAGAGCTTACATAAAGAAGTAAGCTTGGAATTCGCGTAGTTCGAAAGGTAAAAGCGATTGTTTCTCTGATCAATGTCATATCAGGGTGGAAAGAAGCAGCATGGGAACTGGAGTTCTTAGCCAAGCTGTAGGTGTCATGAAAGTTGTAGGTCACTGAATAGCCGGCTCCAAAATATGCAGAGATCTCTGAAACAATGTGCAATTTTGTTTTGTTAACAGCATCCAGAAATAAACTAAGGCTGTCATTCCTTCTTTTCATATTTAATTATATTTCTAAGAGAGAGAAAAAAATAGAATTACTATTGTTCTGCACAGTGGTTAAGAACATTAGCCATGATTTCAGGGCTTTTTCTTAGTAGCTGCTCAGTGCATATTGGGCTTGGAAAAAATTCCAGTTCTTGCCAATTTCTAGCTATATGAATTCATGACAAGGTAACTGTGAATTCATTCCAGCTTCGCTTTTAGAACAGCACTATAAGTGCATATTTTTGATGATTTGGCAAGCAAGCAATACACATAACACACATACACTGTAATTTCCCCCCTCTAATTGTATTTTTCAAAAGCATTTAAGCACTCCCTTCCACATACTTAATGTATAGAGTGTGCTTGGTGAACTTGTCCCTGGCATTGCACGAACCCCATAACCTACTCAACATTCACGTGTCCAAAGGGGACCCTTATATGCATTTAGGTCCTTAACCCACAGCATGCAAGAAACCAGACTGTGTGAAGACTAGGCATATAGAGTTGTATATACACTGCTTTTTTTCTATGGCTTTTTCACCCAGCATATACAGTGGAACCTCTACTTATGAACGTCCCTAGCTATGAATGATCCAACTTACGAACAGCTCCGTTCGCAAAATATTGCCTCTACTTGCGAACAGAGCTTCAAGATACGAATGGGAAAAATGCAGGGGAGGCGGGGGAAGTGCGAAATTTGAACTTTCAGTTAACCTTTGGCCAGTGAAGAGGCTGTTTGTCTGCAACATCACTCGTTCAAGTGGTTAGAGAGTGGATAGGGAGTCTTCAGTTACTTTTTTAAAAACATATATGGACTGGCTTTTTGGGGGGGGGTTTTAATTTTTGATTTTTGGATTTTTTACTCCTGGTATTGCCTGGTACTGTACTATATGGACTGGCTTTTTTTGGGTTTTTTTAATTTTTGATTTTTGGATTTTTTACTTTTTTAAAAACAGACTGCCTATTCTGTATGAGTACATACGCTGTACAGTATTTACTGTACTGTACAGGGTTTTTTGCAGCTTGGGGGGGTAAGGCTAGGTGGGGGAATTATGTTTCTGTGCCCTGATGAGTCTTGCAGTGTGGATTTAAAATGTGAAAAGTAGACTGTAATATTAAATTAAAATTAAATATGAAAATTAGACTATAATTTTTAAATATAAAATTTATTTATTTATTTTTGCATTCTGTGGCTTCTAGGGTTTGTGTACTGTGACCTCTCTGATGTTTTAAAATGTGTGGGTTTAAAATGTGACTCCAAAGTCTTTTTTTTCTTTGAGGATCTGTTTGCTGTAATAATGGTTGCTGATTGTTGGTGCAGACAGACTGTAAAATACAGTTTACACTCCACATTCTTTTTTTCTTAAAATCAGAAAATATTCTGTGAGGGGCTGTGCTGGCTGTTGATGCAGGCAGGCTGTAAAATGTAGTTTAGACTCTCTTTTTTGTGATGAGGAGTTCTGTGATGGAATAATGCTTGCTGGATTCTGTGGCTTCTAGGGTTTGTGTACTGTGAGCTGTCTTTTGTTTTAAAATGTGTGTTTAAAATGTGGCTCCAAGGTCTGTCTCTTTTAAAATCAGAAAACTGTGCTGCTTGTTGATGCAGGCAGGCAGACTTTAAAATGGAGTTTTAAAATAGAGTGTACTGTAGACTCAAGGTTCCCCCTCTTGTCTGACAATTTCAAGATAAACTTAGGCTGCAATCCTGTATGTGCTTACCTAGCCATAAGACCCAGTGAGCTCTATGAGACTCATATCAGAGTAGACATGTATAGTGATAGTAATAAACTGAAAGGGTTAGAAGGGACCCTATGGATATTAAGTCCAGCCCTGTTGAGGAAGTACAGTGGGGATTTGAGCTCACAACCATATCTAAACCACTGAGCTATCCAATGGTTCAATGTTAGAGTCTTACCTTTGTAATTCTCATATCATCACATAACTTTTATGCAGTCACATCAGCATTTACTGGATTAATCAGATAATCAGTTTGAGACCTAGTGTTTAACCATCTCTACTATTATTGCCTAAATAGCAGTAGATTTGCTTCAGAAGGAAGCCTGCTTTAGGTTACCAAATATATTGGTTTGTTTTTTATTATGAATATACTGCCTTTAATTGCTTAGAAGAGGCACTTAAAAACAAACAAACACACTCTATACTGTGTTTTTTTTCCTACAATTGCTGATGCCACATAAAGATGAAGAAAATATTCTGGGAAATGTTGGGGCAAGGGAGGAAGAGGAGTGAGTCCATTCTGAGGGAAGAAGGATGAAGATGGGGGATGTTGATGGCAAAGATGCAGGAAGCACTTCTCTTCCTGTCTCAAATGGTGACAACATTGGATTGCCACTCACCGACTGTACTTGTTATTACCAATAAATCTAAAATATGTTTCTAAGATACAGGTTTCTCTACATCAGTTGAGTTTTTATGCATAAGAATACAAAAAGTGCATAATAAATTTACAATTCATGCTTGCCTTTCGTACAGAATGGCCCCGCATATGCAGAGAAAGTGCAGTCACAAGAGAATCCACTGTGTCTCTCTGTGCATTTTCCTCCATTGTGACACAAGTTACCATAGCTGCTACAATGGCCAGGACAACCTGGTTTTACACCTGGGGTAACTTTTGCTCTTTCTTCCAGGTCAAGTGCTGCTCCATTCAAGTGTAAAGAACGAATGCAGCCCAAAAATCCTTTCTGCCTTGACGCTGTCCCACCTGCGATGGAGATAAGTTCATATAAAGGTTACAAAATGAAAGTTGGTTGAATTGCAATATTTGGACTTTCAAGCATTCTATTCAGGTTTTATGAATATAACTGAAACTATTTCAAAATAACCATTATTCAAATGCATATCTTGACCATTTCTTTGGCTGTTGAGAAGTAATTACAGTAAATTGTGAAAGCTGTTTATGAAAGACACGCTTTCTGTAGAGTGGCAGATAACAAGCAATGTTCTGAATGATCTCAGAGCAGTGGACAATATAAATGATAGAAACAAACCAATGCTAGCATACTTTCGTATGTTATTGGTTTTATTGTTTTTAAACTTTGTAATGCTGCCCAGAGTAGACTATCTGTCTAGATGGGTGGGGTATAAATGTAATAAAATAAATAAATACAAAAATAAAATACTTATTGGTTATTTATCCATCCCCCCCCCTTTGGTTTTCATACTGTGTCCTTGAAATACAAGTACTTTTAAGGCTTTGCGAAGTAATGCCTACTACATCACCAAAGACCTGAATTTAAGAAATTATAATTTAATGACAATAGCTCCTTTCTTTTCCACTCCTCAGCCCACTGCCCTGCCAAAAATCTACTTCAGAGGATTTCTCAGTCTTCTGCAGTTCAAATTAAATGATATGCTTAGTTTGTATTTAATGGGACGTGGTGGCGCTGCAGGCTAAATCGCAGAAGCCTGTGCTGCAGGGTCAGAAGACCAGCAGTCGTAAGATCGAATCCATGCAACGGAGTGAGCTCCCGTCGCTTGTCCCAGCTCCCGCCAACCTAGCGGTTCGAAAGCTTGCAAATGCAAGTAGATAAATAGGGACCACCTCGGTGGGAAGGTAACAGCACTCCGTGTCTAAGTTGCACTGGCCATGTGACCACGGAAGATTGTCTTTGGACAAAACGCTTGGTCTATGGCTTGGAAACGGGGATGAGCACCGCCCCCTAGAGTTGAACGCGACTGGACAAAAATTGTCAAGGGGAACCTTTACCTTTACCTTTTCCCTTAGTTTGTATTTAGAAGTAGTGCTCCCTTAAATGATATAACATGTCTGTTTATCAAAGGACATGTTTTTCCTAATTGATCTTGCAATCCAGTTTCATTGTTTTGTGACTAGGCATCAGAAAGGAAAGACAAGCTTAAGTTGCATGTTTATTTCCTCAGGAGTGCAGCTCTGAGGAAGAATCATCCCTGGAGAAGAAGCTTCTTATCAGCAAGAAATATCCAATTCCTGTAAACACTTTTGTTTGGAACACACTTTGAAGGAGTTATCACCCATCCTGTTCCTCCTGACAGAAGAATTTTCACTGGTAGAATGAAGCAGTTGTATCCAAGTGGTCTCATTTTGGCCCAAGATGAAACTTGGTTCTTCCTCAAAATATCTGAGGATTAGCAGTTATACCTTCTGGTCTGTGGCTCCTGTCCTGTTTCATTTTATTCTGCTTAAATTGTTTTATAATTATTTTTTGTCAGCTATGCTCTATGCTCATCACCTGAGATTGACAGATACATGGGGGGATGTAAATTATTTGATTAAAGCAGCAACATTAATATTCAAAAGATAGTAATAAGTATTATGTCAGGTAAGCTGGCAAAAGCCATGGATTCTTTCCAAGTTCTTATATTTTTTGTCTGTCTGCCGTGAATTGTTCTGATTTGATTTTTATTTAAGCAGGAGCAATAAAAAAACCTTGTCTGTCTGCAGTGAATTGTTCTGATTTGATTTGGTTTTTATTTAAGCAGGAGCAATAAAAAAACTGAACAAAAACCTACACTTTCCAGAGTTCTAGTCATCAACAGAGACCCTGATCCTTCAAAAACCTGGTAAAACATAGGGGAAGACTTTGCAGAGCTTCCTCCCTGATTCCCAAATTCACCCATGAGAGCAAACTAAAATACTACATGCTATAGTTATAACAAATCACATAAATCAGCTGGTTTCTCACAACTGAGGAGTTCAGAGTACCATCTAAATATCTAAAACTTGTGATCTCCATCTGAGCTTCAGCTGCCCTTATTCAATCTACATACTTAAGAGAAATCTGCTGTTATATATGGGGAAGTTTTGGAATAAGAAAATCAGTCCTTCAAACATTTTCATTATTATTATTTTTAAAATCACACCTGCTGTAGAAGAAAGGGGAACATCTAACCTTGATCATAAAGATGAAAGCTACTTGCTATACCAAAAATTGTAGGCTCATTCAAGCTAAATAACATTAGAGATTTTCTACACCACCACTACTGTAGGTACAGAATTAATCCTAGCCAACTGATTTGATACTCTGCCCCAAATTCAAGATTAATTATTGAGAAAGGGATAAACACATTCACTGTATTATTACTATATTAAATCACAAAGAGATTAATATGCAGCTAAGAGGAAACATACATACATATTAACTGGAACACTGCTTAGAGCAGGGGTCCCCAAACTTGGGCCTCCAGATGTTCTTGGACTTCAACTCCCAGAAATCCTGGCCAGCAGAGGTGGTGGTGAAGGGTTCTGGGAATTGTAGTCCAAGAACATCTGGAGGCCCAAGGTCGGGGACCATTGCCTTAGAGCATCAAATGGGACCAGTGTCTGAAACAAGACAACCACTTCCCAAACAGAGGAAATTTATCAGCACCATCTTCATAGAACTGCAGAGCTGGAAGGGACCCTATGGATCATCGAGTCCAGCTCTTGTCAAGAAGGCACAGTGGGGAATTGAACTCCCAACCTCCGGCTTCACACCCAGGTACCTAACCTACTGTCTTATAGTCCCACCTCAGGTTGCACTACTAAATTACAACTGCCAGAGACAAGTCTATGGACAATATATCAGGAGAGTCATAAGGCCTTCCTTCCCTCCCTTTATCTGCCTTTGTTATTGACAGTTGGAAGAAAGTTTTACACAGCAGATGTTGCAATATAGTGGTCCTATATTGTGCTTTATTAATGGATTATAGTTAATTTTTTTTATTTGCTTCTTCTGATGCAGAGTGTTTATGAAAATCAGGTTTCAGTATTACACAGAGAAGGAATGCTGTCCATCCTCACTTGTTCCAGCTTACATATCACACGTGTATATCAGATATCCCACATGTAAAAACACATGAGAATCACTGAACAACGGCACTGATTTTCACTAACTGATTTTCACTAACACAACATTTAACACTGATATTATCTCTTTGTTCAAAACAGAAATCCTTACAACATTAACACAACATTTAACACTGGTATTATCTCTTTGTTCAAAACAGAAATCCTGATTTCTTACGACTGTTAAAATTACCACAGACGTTTGCTAACTGCAAAAGGGGAGACCTTATCCTGGGATACCGAAAGCTATGTACGATGTTCCTCTATCAAAAGCACCAACCTTCTTCAGGGGGTGGGAAAACATTATAAACAACTATCTATTTTTAAATAATATTTTGGAATATTTTCACTTCTTACAAATTGGAATAGTCTGAAGAAGTTACTTGGGGGGGTGTATAACCTCAGCCTCTACCTGTGGACTGAAGACAATAGCATAAACAACTATCAGATGTATATATTCCAAATCCGGGTGGAATGAGGAGACAGTAAGATAACAGTGACCTTACCAACAAAGAGCTGGCTGTTGAGCTGCAAACGGATATGCCCATCAGCTGGAGCTGTATGAGTCCTTTGAGGGAGCTGATCCACTTGCAGTGATGCTTCTTTGATGTTTCTTTCAGCTTTCACAAAGTGCCACTGATTATCATTTAAGGGAGTGGGTGACTGCACTGTGATTTCATTCGGCCCATTGCCCACATCAAAGGAGAAAGTCACTTCAGCTGGTGCTAGAAAAAGGAAAGACACCTAAAAGAGTTTAGAATGGTAATCAAAAACCCATTTTAAATAATGCACAGAAAACCCTTTCTTGTTTTTCCTTTCCTTTCTTTCTTTCTCTAATTTTTTTTTAATTCTCATGCAGTAGAATGACTTATTGTGTTAAATATAGGTATAAGTTAGTACTCCTTCAAACTCTGTACCTGTAAACTTCTGGAGACATTTTTTAAAATGAAGAATTTAAGTTAAGGATGATCTTAGACAAGGGTTACTGACAGCAACATGAATGCTAAATTGGTTTCTAAGCCAAGACTAAGAAAGAAGGAAATAAGTCACATCTTTATGTTTGGTCAGCCACCAAACAACAAGAAGAACAAGAGCAAGAACAAGAACAACAACAACAACAACAACAACAACGACAACAACAATATCATAATACAATAAAAATAAAGATTAATGAAGGCAGTGAAACAAGAATATTTTGAAAACGACAGAAACACAGGCTCAATATAAGAAATAACAATTTGAAAATAAATTAAACAGCTGGAAAAATAAACCACTACATTGGCAACACCTGAGAAATATTGATGGAAAGCATGATCATAATTCAACATGGGCATGGCTAAAACTGGGGACCCTTAAGAAAGAAACCGGAGGACTGATTTTTGCTGCACAAGAACAAGCACTTCAAACCAATGTGTTGAAAGCTAAGATCCAAGGAATTAATGCTAACAAGCAAATGTCAACTCTTCCAAGAAAAAGATGAAACTGTGTCCAGAGGTTGCACAGATTACAAAGTTACATGATAGAGTGGCAAAATTAGTGCACTGGTCATTATGCAAAAAATATAACTTGCCAGCCTTGAAAAACTTGTGGGAACATCAGGTAGAGAAGGTGTCAGAAAATGAGGAAGTCAAGATTTTGTGGGATTTCCAGATCCAAATGGATAGATACCTTGAACATAACACACCAGACACAGTAGTAACAGAAATGTCTGGCTCACTGACATTACAATTCCAGGGGATGCCAGAGTTGAGAATAAAGGATTGGAAAAACGAACAAAGTAAACAGATAGGCTTTTGGTTAAAACTTGTATCTGTTTTTATCAGTGGTTCTGGTGGTGAAGGCTTCTGGAAGTTGCAGTCCAAAAACACCTGAGTAACCCAAGGTTAAGAACCACTGTGTTATATAATACAGTGGACCCTCGACTTACAGATGGCTCCACTTACAGACTTTTTGAGTTTCAGACTTCTCTGGCTGCAAAATTTAGGTTCGACTTGCAGCTGGAGAATCACCCTCCAGACCGGAAAAAAAAAACCAAAATGGAACAAAAATGGCCAGTTAGGGACTAATCTGTTTTCAATGCATTGTAAGTCAATGCACTGGTTCTTAACCTTGGGTTACTCAGGAGTTTTGGACTGCAACTCCCAGAAGCCTTCACCACCAACTGTGCTGGCTGGGGTTTCTGGGAGTTGCAGTTCAAAAACATCCAAGTAACAAAGGTTAAGAACCACTGGGTCAATGGAACCTCGACCGACATACTTTTCGACCTGCAGCCACCGATTAATTCCATACGTTGAGGGTCCACTGTACCAGTCAACGTTTTTATAATTAATTAATTCACTCATTCAATCAATCAATCAAGTTTTGTGGTTTTAATTTGCTCTATATTTGATCATTCTGATCTACAGTGTAAAAAGCCATTATATGACCTGGAGCAGTAAATAATTTTTCACCTCTACAATTCACAATTCCAGTCTTAAAGTAGTGGGATAAAATCTGTGTAGCACAAAGCACACATTACTGTACAGATATCACTAGCAGCTTCTTCTTCTGTTTGTCATTTTTTACTCTATAGTATGCACAGTGACCTTCATCAAGATCAAACCCCATGCAGTATGTACTGGTAAGTAATAACCCGTTTACTTACTCCAGAGCAAAATATTTTTAAAAATAATGTGTGCTTTGACGCACAGTCTGGATCCAATTCATTGTTTGCACTCAGTTTGATAGCACATTTCATGTACCAGTAGAATAGTATTACAGAAATGAGAATTGTGTTTATGACATTTAAAAAAAATTGAAGAACAAGACTGTCTTTTAAAAACAGAGAGAACCTAAAGGTCATGAACAATGTTCTTATGTCAAGATGTATGTTGCAGCTTCCATACATTATGTCCAGAATATGTGATTTATGAATGCAATTGAAATCAATGGCATCATGTGGAGAATAAATTAAATGTATGATTCATGGTGTGCTCACTACACAGACCTGAACAAGTGACGACTTTTCCTTGGTCCTCAATTAAGGGAACTCATTTTCCAATCACATTGGAAGCAGGGCTCCTCTTTGAAATCATTTATTGGCTCTACATAAAAATCAATGGCACGGCATGGTGCCTGCAGAAAGAAAAGTGCGTGTTCTGATGGCAAAATACAAGTTTAAATATATTTGGCAGTCATTTACCTAAGATGGGCAAGTATGGGGAAAATCTAGCAATGGAACATAAGTCAAAAATTGAAATGAATGAGGCACAGCACTTCAATTCCAGCCAATGCTGCCAGTTGTACATATAAAGACAAGATGATGGAGGCAAAAACTTATTTTTATCAGAATACAGAACTTTGAAAAATTACTTGCTGAGAAGAATCACTTAGCCAGCATAGCTACTTGGACTTCACCCAGAACTAAAGAAGGGATAGAACAACAGAGCAACAACACAAAATATCTGACAGCTGCTCTCAAGAACTTTCTGGGTTTAAGGCAAAGACAGCTTTGAAAATGCATTTGGTTGAATGTACTTCCAGAGCTTCCATGATCAGCAGCAGTATCTTATCGGCCTTCTCGAACACAGGATGCATACTTGTACAATTGAAAACCTTTTTTAGATCTTATTTATTTTATTTTATTTATTTAAGTTATATGCCACACACTCTACCCTAAGGTCTCTGGGCAACTTACAACAATTAAAATACAATAAAAAATAAAACAAAAAAAATACAATTAAAATATATACTCTAAAAATTGCCATCAGTACCCACAGTTGATATCATTTCAATTAAAAGCCTTCTGGAACAGGAAGGTTTTGACCAGGCGCCGAAATATCATTAGCGTTGGCGCCGGATGAATCTCAATTGGGATGGCATTCCATAGTATGGGGGCAGCTGCTGAAAAGGCCCTTTGTCTATAAGCCATCCCTCTTACCTCCTTGAGGGATGGCTCTTTCAGGAGGGCCCCCTGACTAGATCTTAATTGCTGGTTAGGTTTATATGGAAGGAGGAGGTCCTTCAGGTATCCAGGGCCCAAGCCATTTAGGGCTTTATATGTCAAAACAAGCACTTTGAATTGGGCCCGGGCAGCGACTGGTAGCCAATGTAATTTAAACAGAATCGGCTTGATGTGTTCCCTACCGGCGCCACCCGCTAGTGGGTGAATGGGGGAGGGGAGTTTGCCCCCTCCCCCATTCATGATAAATGTATGTGGGAGGGGGCAAACATTTGAATGTGGGTCTCCACTGATACGATCACTCAATCTGCCACTTTAGGTCTAGGCACAGTGTAGGAAAATTCAAAACCTTCATCTTAGACTAGGAGGGATATACCCCAGTGACTTTGGTACCTGGCTGTGGAGCCAGATGTTGGGTGTTGGATTCTCCAATGAGTGTCCCAGAAGACAGGCTATATAGCCTTGAGCAAGCTGCACAGCCCCAGAACCATCCCCAGAAGAAAGGAACAGTAAACCACTTCTGAATACTCTATATCTGTATTTTTGCTTTCTATCATGTTCTGAAACAGAAAGCAGACATTGAAAATACCAAATTATGCCGTCAATAATTGTACTATTATAACTCCAGGGACAGTTGTAGTTCCTGAGGCCCCAAATTCTAGCCTAATCCAGCCAAATTATGCAGTCATAACTCCAGGGCCAGTTGCAGCTCCTGAGGCCCCAAATTCTAGCCTAATCCAGAGCCCCATTTGTTTTCTGTTCCACGGCTCGCCAATTTCCTGAATGCTGAAAGTCTGGTCTACGTCACAGTGTTGGAGACCATTAGACCCCCTCTGGACTCCAGTCTATAGTTGTCAAATAGCCATATCCCTTCTCCCACTATACCATCATTTTGTGGTTTCCCAGCTTTTGCTCTGGATTTTTCTGTACAAAAGCTGGTTGAAATGCTTCTCCCATGCATCAAGAGCTGTAACCTGGTTGAGTTGCTTCTCAACTTCTGTAACCTGGAACATACTGTACTTTTGTCCTGGCATCAAGAGCTGTAACCTGGAACATACTGTACTTTTGTCCCTTTGTCTGAGAAATTATCTGAAGCTGAACTCAGCTTTTGGGCTGAAAGTGCCTACCTCTACCAAGCTAAACCTGTCAGTATCTACTGACCATCAATAGATGGTGGAGGTATCCTGCTCAATGGTATTTTCTCGCAGCCCCCACTCTATCCCTACCAAAGCATGCATAGTTAATTGTCTTGAGAGGAACCCGAATGAAAACTTGGACACAGTAAAGAAGGCAGGAAAGACTGGTTTATTTAGTACTGTCTTCCAAGGTAGCTTCTGTTTGTATGGCAAAGGCCAGTGATGGACAAATTATGGCCTTGCAAGTCTCATCAGCCAGCACAGCCAATTGTGAGGACTGGTGGGATGTGTCGTTCAATAACATTTCAAGGGTTATAAGAACTATGCAAGGACTATGAAAGGAGACTGGAGGAAAATGAGCCATGAACAAAGAGCTGTAGCTTCTTAGCCAGTCCAGTGGGAACAATTGGGCAGTATGCAGCAGCACACTGCTTCACTCTCAACAAGACATAATTCTTAATAAGGGATCCTATCATTGCATCTGAGTGCAGCTATTGATTTGAACATACCATGCAAAGCTTGGACTATAAAACTGTGATCATTATTAGTCAGCACACTTCCATTGTAAAGATGGTCAAGTTGTGCATCGTTTTATATATCTAAAAACCCATTAATATTGATAGGACTTATATGTGCACCATTCCCCAAA